GGCCTGAGATTGTTAAATGGGTAGCGTGACCTTGGCATAGTGTGAAGTGCAAGATTTGTGATGATTGGTGTGATTGAGAATTATGACGTGATGACGATGTATGATTGATTGAAATACGATATGTTGAAATATTTATGAATATTAAGTTATAATGAGATAATATGTTGTGTTTTCTTATGTGCTATATATATAGATGTTTTCTTTTCTCACCGTGCGATTTGTGGATATTTTAGGTGAGGAAGATCCGACTACGAGTGACATCTAGAATGCTAACGGTTGAGTTGTGGTTATGCTCTGATATTGTGACATCGGGGCAGAGGATTTTCCTTAGGACATAGATTGTTATATGGAATTAGAATTGTAAATATTATTTTTGAAAATCATTTGTAAACTCTCACGTTTCATTTTTATCGTTGTGGTTATTGAAGAATAATTTTGAAGATTCTCCTTTTACCGAAATAGAGAAATTGTTTTTGTTAAGTTTTCATTATTACAATATATATGTTGGGGTAGTAAGGGTGTCACAACCCCTCTATTTTCTCCATTGTTTTTGTCTTCTCCACCAAGGCTAAAATTTTTGTGATGGCCATAATCACTAACACTCTCTTTAGATCTTGCCTTAGTCCCTCACTAAATTTTATGCACTATCACACCTCATAAATAGTTTATGAATAGAAGCAGGCAAGGTGCTCAAATCTCAACATAGCCCTAGACTAACATTTTACCCTGTTGTAGTATCAGAAACTCTATTTTCTTGGCATATTTCACACTAATTGGGAAATACTTATCAAAAAACACTCTCTCAAAACACTCCTAGTCCACCACCACACCATGGGTCTAGGGATGGCAAATAAATCTGTACCCGTGGGTAATACCTGAACCCGTCCCGACTTTGACGGAGAATACCCGGTTTGATCGGGTATGGGTACGGGTACAAGTAAAACTCGATATGTTAAAAAATTTTAATATTTTATTATGTGTAATTATTTATTATAATGTGAAACATTTATATATTTAATTATTAAGAATTCTCTTGATTAAAATATGAGATAGAGAAATAATTTAATTATAATTATAATATAATGAAAAAATAATTTAAAAATATTGTATATTTTTTTGTAAAAAAAATAATAATTTTTTACGAGTATGGGTATACCCGATACCCGATGGGGACGGGGATGGGGACAAAAATTACATACCCAGCGGGTACGAGTACGAGATGGATTTGAGTCGCGGGAACAGGGACGGGTATCATGAAACCTGTACCCAAC